AACAGGCTTCCTGCTGCAACTGGGCGGCCATTTTGGTTCTTGCTGTGATGTACAGCCTGCAGACAGCGACAGGAAGTCCCGAAGGTTTAACTACATCCTGCTGACTGAGCACTTCTCATATTCAGCAACTTAAATGAACTTTCTTACTTTAAAACACAAGAGTTATTAATAGACTTTAAAAGCGTCTGCATAGTTGACAATTCCTCAGTATGGATAAGCTTCAAAGAGTCGATCAAAATTCATCTATTTAAGGAGTTTCTGTCCAGGTGTGACTGTATGTACAGTAAGTAGGAGTCTATTGTTATTTAGTTGTGATAATAATGTGCAGCTATATTAGAGATGATGTATTATAACTGCAGAGACTGACAGGCAGTTTCTGCACAAAGCTGTAACAACATAACATAATCTAAACCACAAATCTCTGCTGGAGACTGAGCTGGCTTTCTTCTCCTTCTGCTGCTGCTGCTGCTGTTGCGTGAAATCCTTTAGTGATGCTGGTTTCAGATCAATTTCATGTTTTAGTGAAGCTCTTTAAAAGCGAATAAGCGTGCAGAATCAAACATGTGTGCAGCTTCAGGGCGGAAGATATTAAAAATAAAAGTCAGATCAGTTGGAGCTGTGGGAGAAGCACAGTTTGTGTTTCAGCAACAACACCGACTATTGTTAGGATTAAAAGGAAATGTTGTTTATTTTCTCATCATCTTGTTATAAAAATGACTTGGCACACACTTTGTGATATGGAAAAGTATTACGGGGAAGGCATAAGAAGAAAAAATGAGAAGAAAAAACGTATTATTTTTGCTTAACGTTGAGAATAAAGTCAGATTTAGATGCATAATTGTGCCAGACCTGAGATGAAAGTCAGAGCAGAAACGTGTCTTGCCTTTTGAGGAATAATGTTGAAATGTAAAAAATAATCTCAACATTTCAAGATCAAATCCAGACTACTAGCGTTAGCATATAGCAACTTTGTCATGACATTTGGACTTTTTCTGGAGCTAAAATACAAAAATCTCCCCTCATTGTTCACCCGTATGCCTGGCACTACTGTTCATTAATAACTTGTGAGCACAGAATAATATATCTTATATCTTATGTGGATTTGAAGACCTGGCAGCTTCATTATCTCCGTATGCTTTTCACTCAAATGTAGATACTCACCAGATGGAGATCACAAGATGAATTGAATAGCATAAGCTATGGCTAAGTGATTAATATCAAAGTGACCAAGTTAGCGACCTTAACCGAACAATTTTCTTCCAAGATATTTGGTATTATTAAAAACGAGTGCTGGTATTTCACAGTCAAAAAATGCTTAAAAACACGATTGGATAGCGTACTACAGCGTTAGCTAAAATTAGCTTGTGAAACACGATTAACAAATGAATTAAGATGGTGTTGTTGCTACGATACAAACTGTGCTGTACGGGATGTTTTCAGTAAACAGCGGTGATGTCTGACTGACTTTCTCTTCTTTCCATCTTCTTAGATAGCAGTTAGCTTGTTGAGTTGTTAAGGAACAAACTCAGAACTTAAATTAGAAAAATCTCTGCTATTAATTATTTATAATGGCCAAAACTGTTTTATAAATCCTTAAATGTTTAGAACAGAAAGCTTGCCCTTTTTGAAATTTACAAAATCGTGTCAATGTTTGCAAAAAGACAGGAACTTGCCAGAAAACTAGCTATTCAAGGCTACTAGCATTACAGCGCCATCACTAGCTTTCAAGTGGGTAAATGTTAACTGGAAAGCTTTCTAGTGTGCCAAAAAAAAGAGCATAATTTGTAAAGAAATTTACAAAAATGGGGACACAATGTGTCGTCAAGACTGAGTCAAATACATTACAGGTAGCACCAGAACATACCTAGACAACTAGCTACATTAGCAAGCTGGTAGCTAACTAGCTTGTCGCAACACATTTAAAATAAAGTAAATATTATAGAGAGAAATTAGGAGTATGGACAAGAATGAAACCCATGATTGTGATGTTAGCTTGAAAAGTAGCTACATTAAAGTGCCGTTACTAGCCTGTTTGCGTTTACAGCTAGCTAGCTTGCTTGTATGCCAAAATAATACTTAATTTGTAAAGAAAATGGAGAATAAGAATTAGAAAAATGTGCAGAGATAATGTGCCACTGCAACTGAGTTCATGTGTTTACAGATAGCATCAGAAACATCGAAATATGCTCAGTCATGCTAGCTTGTAAAAAATTGAATTAAATCAAAATTCAATACATTTTTGGGAGAAAAATATTGTAAACTAAGAATATAGATTAACTTAAAGGTTAAAACACAATGTTAGAACTACACACTTGCTAAGAAGCTAGCTAAATTACTAGCTAAAGTGACGAGAAACATTGCTAGCTTGAAGAGCTAGTTAGCTTGTAGGCTAGTTAGCAAGCTATAGGCTATTGCCAAAACAAAACTTAACTTGTCATTCAAAAATAATATAAGGCAATACATTAATAACTTACTAACAAGACGGAGTAGGATTATATTGATCTCATTATTAGTTATTTTAAAGGATTTATTTGCAATTTGAAGGTAAAATTGCGGAATTTAGGAACAATTTATTAAAAAAACGTCAGAATAAATTAGTTGAAAGGACTAAAATAACATCGTCAGGCACACAATAATTATCATATTTTATTATAAGGCAGCCCCTTGTACGTTATCCGATCTGCAATCCTAAAACAATAACACTGAATTATTTTTTTACTTTTTATTGTTAGATTTTCGCTGTTATTGTTGATTTGCTGCCACTAGGACTTCTCTTAAAGACGAGCTTCAGCTGCCAGTTTACACTTAAAGACACTTACAGCAGGATTTAATGAAAGAGGAACTTCGCACACATTCCTAGAGTTGCTTTAAGTGAAGAAACACAGATTGAAAGACGAGGGATCTTCCTCTGAAGGTCCGTAGCCACAGCAGTATTAAATCACTGTACTTTGGTCGATATATTTAGGTGTTTTTAACCTGAAATCTGTGTTAACTGGATCATGTTTGGTGTTTTTTCGGTGCTAGAAGGTTCGTTATAGTTCTGTGTTTGACTTCAAGGATCCTGTTTTAATTCAAAGCCTCACACCGATGCTTTGGATGAAGGTGGATCCGTCATCAGTGGCATTACCTGTTGGTTTCATTAACTGTGGAGTGAAATGCTTCTTCAGTCGACACTGTATAGTTTGTGCACATAGAAGCTGTTGCAGTGTGTTATTACTAGTGTTGTGAATTTACAGCAGTGTTAAACATCCTCTTCCTTCACACTAAGGACAAGAACTGCTGGTTTCATATCTTTTAAACTATTACCTTAAAGGTGGGGTAGGTAAGTTTGAGAAACCGGCTCGAGATACACTTTTTGTTATATTCCATGGAATGCTCTTAACATCCCGATAGCAATGAATATCTGAAGTGCTTTGACAAAAAATCCATAAAAAAATATCATCTGTGGAAGCCGTAGTACTGTAAAAAGCACGACCAATCATTTTAGCTGGCCCGGCTAAAATAACTGGATGGCCTACCTGCCTGTCAGCCTTCCATCTGTGCACAAACTTATCTCGTGCCCTCATTGGTCATGTGCGCGTTCGTGTGTGTTGGAGGAGGGGCTCTGTAAGGAAGTGGCAGATTTTTTCCAGCTGTATATTTTCAAAATCTAGCGCACTCGAGCTGGTTTCTCCAAAATTACCTACCCTACCTTTAAGTATATGTTATATTCCTGTGCATCATTTGCCAAATTATTCTTAATTTATTTTAGAATAAACTTTATTTCGGCTTAATTTCAATGAAAATCAACTTGCACTAAATCGTTTTTGATGTAGATTTCAAGGACATTTAAATCTATTTGGGTATGTATTTAATAATGGTGTATAACATGTGTGCAAATATAGGAAAAAGCAATTAAATTAAAGAGTAGTTTCACATACGGCCCGTCCACACGGCAGCGTGCGTTGCTTCAACGGAGACGCTTCCCATTCCCTTTGAATGGGGTGACGTCACATTAGATGTTACATTACATGTTACTTGTTAGACGCTTTTATCCAAAGCGACTTACATACTCAGTACTGTGGACAATCCCCACAGGAGCACTTTGGGGTGAAGTGTCTCAGGGACACAACGACATGCTGACTGCAGTGGGGTTTGAACCTATGACCCCCTGATCCCAACACCAACGCACTATTCCACTGCACCACACGCCATCACGCTTTGCCGAACTGCATTGTGGTTCCTTCGCGTTGAGAGAAGTTCAACTTTTCAAGCGTCGACGGAAGCGCCAGCCAATCAAATCATATGCCAGTACAAGCTCTAGCCAATCAAACCGCATGCTTGTGTGTCCGGGGCGGGAGGTTAATGTGATTGGTTGTTGGTCGCACGCCAGATACGCCCACCGGCAAGCTTCAACGCACGCTGCCGTGTGGACGTTACGTAAATGGCTATAGAAATCTACTTGCAAATACATTTTGTAGATGTCAACATTTAAGAACTTTTTTACACTATTTGATTAGTATAATAGCATTGGAAAATAAGGATGGTGCACATATACTGTAGGTCTTTTTCAGGTGTAGTTTTTTACACACAGTATCAAAACATCAAAACATCATGAAAATATGAATTCATACTTAAAAACTGCTTTTTTTATTTGTTTGCACAGGATATGAAAATAACACATTGGGCTCTGTAAAATTATATTATGACTCCAAACAAAAATTGACAAGAATTCACGTTCTCTGCAATTTTGAATTCAACTGAAATGAACCTGAAAATAGATTCTCTGATTTGCAGGAATATAAAGAGTGAATGAGTTAAAGGATGCACACCCAGCAGTCTCTCGTCCTCAGACCAAAAAAACAGCAAAAACAGCAAAAACTAGATTTAGAAAAACATGAAATGACATCAAATGCGGACATTTAGTAAAAGAAATAGCCACATTTCTGTCTGAGAAGATGATCACGCCCGTTGCCTCGAGGAAAAGTGTCAGGGAAAGAAACGTTGGAAAAGCTCAAACAGCGCACAAATAAAATATCTAGAGTTTATAATATTATTATCATATAACTCTTTGTTTTTTCGGGCTCCATCAAACTGGAAACATTCTGCCGAATCCTCAGAGACAGAAAAGCCTTTTATTTCTGCACTTTTTGAGCTAATATTCATGACAGTATATGACGGCCATTGTAGGTCAAATAAAGTCAAAATGAATACATTTGGAGTAATACTTTGAACATATAAAGACACGAACGTAAGCGTATGAATACATCGTTTATTGGGAAAAGACTTGAATACTTTCTGGTTTAAGAACATTATGAATTTACAAGAAAAAACTCACAAATTACGAGAATAAAAACTAAAATTGAGATTGAGAATTTTCAAATTTTTGGACTGGAGAATTTTGATGTTTTTTTTTTCCTGTTAAATACAATTTTAATTTGAGTTGTCTTCCTGCAATGGCAGCTAATGGTGTCGTGTATATTCATCCAAAACAAATATTTGGAAATGTATTTTTTCTCGCCCCGTGTCGCTGCCATAAAACGACTTTCTGTTGCTGAATGTTAAAAATGTGCTTTAACGTGCCTCACCTGTCGTGTGTGTGTGGTGTGTGTGTGTGTGTGTGTGTGTGTGTGTGTGTGTGTGTGTGTGTGTGTGTGTGTGTGTGTGTGTGTGTGTGTGTGTGTGTGTGTGTGTGTGTGTGTGTGTGTGTGTGTGTGTGTGTGTGTGTGTGTGTGTGTGTGTGTGTGTGTGTGTGTGTGTGTGTCTGTGTGTGTGTGTCTCTGTGCTAACGTGCCTCACCTGTTCCTGTGTGTGTGTGTGTGTGTGTGTGTGTGTGTGTGTGTGTGTGTCTCTGTGCTAACGTGCCTCACCTGTTCCTGTGTGTGTGTGTGAGCTAACGTGCCTCACCTGTTCCTGTGTGTGTGTGCTAACGTGCCTCACCTGTCCTGTTCCTGTGTGTGTGTGTGTGAGCTAACGTGCCTCCAGGTGCCATCTCGACTTTTACGTTGCTGTAACTTTGGTTCACTTTTACTTCCTGAAGTTTTCTTGAATAGATGAAATGTATATTTTTGCAGACAGAAGCTGTTTGTGTCAACTGTAAAGTTTTATCTGTAAATTGCACTAATTGTTTTCTAGATGCTCTTAGACGTGACGTTCAGGTTATTATGAATGTTGTAACAACTAAAAGTAAATATATATATATATACGTTTAAATAACTGATTCTTATATGTGTTTAATCAGAATAAACTAAAGACTGTCTAAGAACAAAAGACAACATGGTTTCTGTCAAATCTCTTGTTTAAATTGTGATTGGTCAACTGCTTAGAGATGTCCCGCCCCTTAGCCAATCACGTACAATGTGTTAGAGCGCTAGCCAATAGGAGCGCAAGGGTTACACAGTGACACCCCAAAAACATAATCAAGCCTCTTTAAGTAACTTTGCATTTTCAGAATAATACAAAAAGTGAAAATGATGATGTATTATTTTAACTTTATGTATTAGTTAGAATGAACTCTTTAACAGGCTGCATCATTAAAGTATGACATGAATAAATGCAGCTATAATTATAAAAATACATTATTTATTTGTATGCCTTATGAATACTTCAACTTTTGGTACTTGTATTATATTATGATTCCGATAATTCTCCTGGTTTTGTTTAATTAGTACAACATTAGATAATTGCCTGATTTCTTCTACAATAGAGTTCTTCATCCCGGTATCAGATCAGATGATTTCATGGCGGGTTTAATGGGGATGTTTCCCTCAATTTTGCAGTTACGCTTTATAATGAGATCAGATAACTTCATCATTGATGCCAGTTTGGGATGTGTTTGTTTTGTCCCAGCATCATGTAAACAAGGCGAGGTCCGTTTACATGATGATAGGCTTACAACTAACAACATGTAAACATCCTTGATTATTTACATTATAAGTTAGAAAAGTAAGGAATTAACATAATAAACTTATTATAGGGCTCACATTACTAAATAAGTATAAAAGTCACTCCCTTAGCATTTTCTATGCAAAATGCATCATCAGTTAAAATGATTTAAAAATACAAACCCTGGCCAGCAGGGGGCAGAAGGTCAGAAAGTCAGACTAAAACAAAGATGGAGTATAGAGAGAAAGAGGTGTCACTCTGCAGATAATATCCTCTCCGGTGCATCAGGGTGCAAAGCAAAGTACACATAAACAATCCTGAGGTACTTTTCTTTACATTCCTCTGTACAAATATGTTTTAAAGGTCTCCAAGGTCTCTTCTGCATCAACATGTGTCCCCTCTTCTCCATGTCTCTTCTTCATCAACATGTGTCCCCTCTTCTTCATGTCTCTTCTACATCAACATGTGTCCCCTCTTCTTCATGTCTCTTCTACATCAACATGTGTCCCCTCTTCTTCATGTCTCTTCTACATCAACATGTGTCCCCTCTTCTTCATGTCTCTTCTACATCACCATGTGTCCCCTCTTCTTCATCTCTCTTCTACATCAACATGTGTCCCCTCTTCTTCATGTCTCTTCTACATCAACATGTGTCCCCTCTTCTTCATGTCTCTTCTACATCAACATGTGTCCCCTCTTCTTCATGTCTCTTCTACATCAACATGTGTCCCCTCTTCCTCATGTCTCTTCTTCATCAACATGTGTCCCCTCTTCTTCATGTCTCTACTACATCAACATGTGTCCCCTCTTCTTCATGTCTCTTCTACATCAACATGTGTCCCCTCTGTGGAAAGAGACTCTGAAAGTTTCAGGAACAAAGATTCTCTCTCTTTTTGTCCTGATCCATTTCTATAAAAACCTGTCTGAAAATGAGCTGATCAGATTTTGGCCACTTGATGATGTCATAATGATGTTTTGTCTTGTGTAACCATTAGCCAATCAGCAACCAAGGTAACCCCCCCCCCCCCTTATCACCTGAATAGTTCTTTTTAACCAAATCTCTCTCAGAGGGGCGTGGAGAGGGGCTCCTTATTTTCATCTACAGTAACAGACAGAGAATCAGCACTTTGGAAACAGGGCTGAAACAGAGGGGATTATGGGTAATGCTGCAATGATCTGTTTGGTGTTTCAGCCAATCAGAGACAGGCTCTGGATATATCTGAGACCTGTGATATATTGATGAACAACAGGATAATAGGGGACCTTTAACAGCTGTTCGGTTCCTGTTCTGTGATTGAAAACGAAGAAGAAATCCATTTAATTTCCTTATTTCTTCCACAGATAGTAAACGTCACGTTAACATATTTACATACATACATTTATGTCCCTGTTTCCAAAGAGCTGATTCTCTGTCTGTTACTTTAGATGAAAATAAGGAGCCCCTCCCCTCTATCTATCTATCTATCTATCTATCTATCTATCTATCTATCTATCTCTCCATCCATCCATCCATCCATCCATCCATCCATCCATCCATCCATCCATCCATCCATCCATCCATCCATCCATCCATCCATCCATCCATCCATCCATCCATCCATCCATCCATCCATCCATCCATCCATCCATCCATCCATCCATCCATCCATCCATCCATTGTATACTACTATACTATAATATTCTACACTTTATATTTCTTAAATATTTGCAAAACTCAGTTATTTTTGTCTCACTGAGTTTATATTGAACACCAAAGTAAATTCATTGTTAATCAAAAACATATTTGACCCAAAAATGTAATTTAAACTGTAACATTTATTAGATTTTCCCCTCAGAGTGAGACCTCCTCTCGTTTCTCCTCCTCTCTTAACGTCACGGGGAATTTCCAGTGGGGAAGGAAATCAACTTTGTGAAACAGAGAGAGACAAATTTCACCTGCAGGATTTACCTGATCTTTCTCAGGATTAAACAACACCTGCTTTTATTCTCTCGGATTAAAAACCATTTCTCTCCATTGGCGCTAATGACGTCATGACGCACTACAATTAAACCAAATGGATCCTGTGGTTCCAGCATGGCGAAATCATGAGCAAATAAAGTCAACTTCAGTGAAGTGTCACCCATAGTGCATGTTGAGAATCCGACTGTTCACCTGACCGAGATAACCAGGTAAGACTAATTAACCACTTTATTATATCACAGCTGGGTGTTTGCATTGATCTCCTTTAATGTAACCGTGACCCGTTACAACTGTGCTTTGTTGTGCTGCACCACTTCCTTATTAGCCAGGTGACTTCAGGGAGAAACCAAACTCTTATGTTAAAAATTAGAAATTAATAATGTATTTCTCCCCAGCAAATGCAGCAATGTGTTACATCAACAGTAAATATATGTATGGTATATTAGACATCCCCTTGTGAATTCGGCTTGTTTAAACGTAATATTTAGTGTTTCTTTAAATCAGAATGACTTATTTAATGTAACCGTGACCCGTTAAAACAGCGCTTTGTTGTGCTGCACCACTTCCTGATTAGCCAGGTAGCTTCAGGGAGTCAAACCAAACTCTGTGTTAAAATGGAGATATGTAAGTTTACTTTGTCTCTAGCAAATTCAAGAATGTCCTGCACAATCAATAAAGATATCTATGGTATACATGACATCCACTCGTGAATTCGGCTTGTTTAAATCTAGTATTTAGTGTTTATTTAATGTTTAACCTCAGAAAATTCAAGTGTTTTCCCTTGTAAATTTGTGATTTTGTTAAACTTCTACTAAATAAGAAGTTCTGAGTTCTTATTTACTAATACTCTTTAATCTTATAGTAAATTCAAGTTGATTTCTCTTGAAGCTCCCAGTTAGCTGTTAGGCTTTAGGGAAGTCACACCAAACTGTAATAAGAATTTAAAGTTGTATTTGTCCCCAGCAAATGCAAACATGTCTTACACCAAAAATAAAGATAATTATGGTTTATGTGACGGCTACTTGTGAATTCGGCTTGTATAAATCAAGTATGAAGTGTCTATTTTTAGTCGTTATTACTTACTTTAATGTGACTATACATTCGTTTGCTGGATTTCCTACCGCGATCTGCAAAAGATAGTGTGGAAAATGCTGAAGTTTTTATTTAAATTTCGGTATAATGTTGATTTTACACACGCCGAATTAAAGACAAGATCTACCTGATTATGAAATGTGCTAATTTCTAGTTTTTGAGCTAGAGTTTCTGATTTGAAAAGTGAAATATCATTTTAAACTTGCAAAATTATGAACTGAGTTTGGTGTTACGTTTCACCAAACTTTGTGTTAAAAAGGAGAAATTCAAGTTGTATTTCTCCCTAAGCAAATGCAGTAATGTCTTACATCAGAAATAAAGATATTTGTGGTATATATCACATCCACTTGTGATTTCGGCTTGGATAAATCTAGTATTAAGTGTGTATTTAAATCAGAATTACTTATTTAATGTAACCGTGACTCGTTACCACAGTGCTTTGTTGTGCTGCACCACTTGATTAGCCCGGTAGCTTCAGGAAGTCACACCAAACTCTGTGTTAAAAATTAGGACTTAGAGTTTAGTTTCTCGCCAGCAAATACAATAATGTCTTGCATCAGAAATATAGATATATATGGTTGAATTCACATCCACTTGTGAATTCGGCATTTTTAAATCTAGTATTAAGTGTTTATATTCATCGGAATTACCTATTTATAAAGTGAAAAGCCTGTTAGCTGTTTGCCTCATTCAGGACATTCTGTAACACGAAGCCGACACTCAAACAGTCACTGAACTTGAGTCCCTTTTGTAGATTTGTTAACTTTAAATCACATTTTGATTTATAAATGCTCGATTTAACGACACAAACAACAAAAACAGTGACGCTGTGTTGCTAACTGTTAGCCAGAGAGCTAGCACAAGTCACACAGGCGCGTTCATGTGCAACTGCGGGTACGCGCGGTGCCAAGCAGCAACAAGTGTCAGGAGTTCTTTATTAAATAAATAATAATTGTTTATGTTTGTTTATTGACAAAACTGCATGATGTACATGAATAATAACATTTAAATAATAGTAGAAATACAATGCAAAAACAGTATGATTAATCAAAGAAAGAATCCATTAATTATTATAAATGCATAATATATGAAGGGTAACGCTTGCATTATTATTATTATGGTTATTCATAGACTTTGTATTCCCCCTGTGTTTCTACACGTTGCAGGTGTAATTGTTTGACCTTTGCCCTGCAGACACCATGGCTGCAGAAGACCACTACCTGCACACCTCCACTCAGGTAAACTCGTTAGCAGAAAAACTGCAGAAAAGTGAATCAAAATAACATAATACAATATTAAAAGTCATCTTCTGCAAAAAACACATCTTTTACCTTATTTTATATAATTTTTCTTTATTTTTACAATGTTTATTTAAAATGAATCACTGTTTACACATTATTATTAGTATGTGTCTGTTATATTTTGTCTATATGGCATAACTGTTAGAAAATACTAACAAAAATGTGATTATTATTTTACTTTCCGGTCAGATCTTTGACAACCTGATGATGGACCCGCCCTGGGAGTTCACTCACTTCCCCGGGATGTCCCAGACGACGTCTCTGAGGACAGGTGAGTCCCACCTGCTGCTGATAAACCTTTTATTTATGAAACAGCTTCACAGCTTTCCTCACCTGCTGCTCCAAAGTCTAATCGGCTGCTGTTTGTTTGTTGACCTTAAACCAACTTCTCAAACTTTTTTTCAAGGCTTTTATTGTCATGGGTACACAGCTATAGTGTAGATATGACAATGAAACTCTGAGGTCATAGGCTCCTCCAACAGAGCAACACAATTTCAATCAGGAGAGACGGTGTTGATGAAAGAATACATATTTATTGCCAGGAATACACAAATGAATGTAATGGAGTTTTGGTGATTAGGCCCCGTTGTGCAGGAGTATCATTCAGGAGGGGAGAACCGATCCGATGAAACCCCCCGGGGGCTAGACACTGGTGGTGGTGAATGGATGGTTGGGGTCGGTCTGAAGGGGAGTGGCTTAGCTTGACCCTGGATTCAGAGGGACAGGAGGTGAAAAGGGGTGGAGGAGGGTTGCGTCGAGTCACCTGAAATTACAGCTGTCAGAGGGGGGAGAGCAGATTTTAAAGGGTTAGCGTATTAGTAGTAGTAGTGGTAGTGGTAGTAGTGGTAGTGGTAGTAGTGGTAGTAGTAGTGGTGGTAGTAGTGTAGTGGTAGTGGTAGTAGTGGTAGTGTAGTAGTAGTGGAGGTAGTAGTGGTAGTAGTAGTGTGGTAGTAGTAGTAGTAGTGGAGGTAGTAGTGGTGGAGGAAGAAAATAAAAAGACAGAACCCAGGAGATGACACAGAGCAGAGATGGCAGGCATAGCAGTTAAACATATAACATATCTAGATGAATACTGCTGGAGTTCAATCAGTCATTAAAATAATATAGAACATTCATTCATTCATTCATCCATTCATTCATTCATTCATTCATTCATTCATCCATTCATCCATCCATTCATTCATCCATTCATTCATTCATTCATCCATTCATTCATTCATTCATTCATTCATTCATTCATCCATCCATCCATTCATTCATTCATCCATCCATGGCACTGCATACTATAGGAGAGGTCAAGACATTGGTAGTGAGCATCAGGCGAAGCAGCTGCATGTGTGTACCAGGGTGTTTGTAATAGTGTCCCTGAAGATATACGATGTTAGTTATTTTAGGAAGAGAAACTGCGGAGGAAAACGATCAGAAAGTGAGATCTCTGTTTGGAAAACGAATGTGTAAATATAGTGTGAAAACAGTGTGTGTTATATATATATATATATATATATATATAAAGCGTGAAAGGTGAGTTTCGTGACGTTTTGTTGGTTTCTGTCTCTGTGGCTCTCACTTCCTGTTTGAGTCACAGCAGGGAAACTCTCTACACATTTATATATATATTATCACAATAACATATGAACATGTGGGCAATTCATCATGAATCATAACGTCATATACATACTGCGTTACACATGAGAGTATTTGATTTATTCCCCAGGCAGTGTTTGGTCTCTGTTTCCTCTTTGTTGACTCAATATGAAAGTGCTGCTCCTCTGAGGAAACAGAACAGTAAGGTCTCGACACAACGAGAATCAAACAAGATGTTTGAAGTAATAAACTGTTTTACTTTAATACATGAAAAAATAGAAACCCAATTTATTATATAAACATTGGAGAAAAGTGCCCACAAATACTAGAAAATAAATAGTTACGTTCCCTCCTGGACTAGGGGTACAAAGGGAAGTAACAACATATAAAATAACCGGGAGAGAGAAGAAACTGATTGCTGAAGCCACAAGGTGATGTTTGATCAGTCAAAGAAAGTAAAGAGGGCTCACCAGACAATCTGCAAAGTAGCAAACAGCACATCTCCTAACAATAAACAAAACACAGGTTAAACTAGCCGGCCTCAGGTCCTTTATGGAGGCCCTGATTGGGGATTGGGAACACCTGGAGGGAGACGAGAGGGGGAGAGAGAGAGACACACACACACACACACACACACACACACACACACACACACACACACACACACACACACACACACACACACCCACTACGGCACGTGACATAAATATTCTCCACATACTTATATTTTTACGACCTCTAAGATAAGATAAACCTTTATTTATTAATCCATGTTAGAGGTAAGGTTAGAGTTCATGCAAGGATAGTGGGAATACAAAGCATAAATAAAAATAACAATAAGGTCAAATGCTTTCACAGGATCTGGAAACTGCACACGTTTATTTTTGCCGACATCTTAAAGAAATGTATGAAATATCACAATTTTGAGCCTGATCGTTTTTACCGACAGATGAGTTTGTCACACATGATCCGTTCAAGGAGCGTGGGAAAGTTGAAAATCAGAAGGTTATTTCTGTTTTTACAGTTTCTTTCTAAGACAAAGTGTGTATTCTTAGTAAATTAAACAATCAAATAAAACGTTTTTCAGAGGAAAATAAGAAATGTAAAGAAAAATGTAATTGAAGTATTAACAGTAAACATGACATGTTACTTGTTAGACGCTTTTATCCAAAGCGACTTACATACTCAATACTGTGGGCAATCCCCACAGGAGCACTTTGGGGTGAAGTGTCTCAGGGACACAACGACATGCTGACTGCAGTGGGGTTTGAACCTGTGCTCCCCTGATCCGAACACCAACGTACTAGTCCACTGCGCCACAGCCTCCCTAAACAGATTATACATTGGTATATTTGACATTTTAATGCTGACTGTGTCCCTGTGTTTGTTCCAGCGGACGGTCCGTTCCTGCAGATCATAGAGCAGCCCAAACAGGTGAGACTGTCCTCTAAACGCCTGTTCACTATGTCAGAAACGCTAATCTCTGGAACAACATGTGTCCATCTGCACTTTCTTCTCTCTGTTTATTTAACTTGTAAAACTCTTTCAATCAGATTTTTGATTTCTAAAAACATCAACAATGCTTTGACATGTTGAGATCAACCTGCTTTACTGCTACTTTTGACTTTAAAACCCCTAGTGTCCGACAACCAGACGTGTCAACAGAAAAAAGATTTGCTGCTTTTTCTGTTTTAAATCATAATTAAGTAAATCTGAAAAAGTAACATGTCATGTTACGTCAAACTAAAATGTAAACATATTCTATACATATACAGTTAGTTACACTTTTTTAATTGACATTTAGATAGTAACAAGGTATAGTTTAAACATGTGCAAATCAAGTATATATCTATCTATCATCTGTACCGGATGAACCTGATTTAAAAGTGTGTGTGTGTGTGTGTGTGTGTGTGTGTGTGTGTGTGTGTGTGTGTGTGTGTGTGTGTGTGTGTGTGTGTGTGTGTGTGTGTGTGTGTGTGTGTGTGTGTGTGTGTGTGTGTGTGTGTGTGTGTGTGTGTGTGTGTGTGTGTGTGTGTGTGTGTGTGTGTGTGTGTGTGTGTGTGTGTGTGTGTGTGTGTGTGTGTGTGTGTGTGGTCTCAGCGGGGCTTCAGGTTCAGGTACGGATGTGAGGGTCCGTCTCACGGGGGATTACCGGGAGCCTCCAGTGAGAAGAACAGGAAGACTTACCCCGCCGTCAAGGTACATTCAAGATTATATTTCTGCTTTATAAACTGTAAAAAAGGACTACTCATATTTAGCTCAGTTGTGTATTTCCATATCCCAAACATGACAGAGTGATGTGTAATTTTAATCAACGCAGAGGTGCGTTCATACACAAGTTATAGGAAGAATAAACAACTATTGATAAATTGATTTGTTTACTCAAATAAACAAATCGCTTTCTCCCAAATAAACCAATTAGATCCCCTTTGAGCAGCGTCAGCGTTGTCTGCAGGAAGCTGTCATAAAACGACTTTTCATCCAGTTTTAAGCCACATTTTCCCCTCTTTCTGATATTGGTGCTTTTTAACTCTATATTTTAACCGGATGAAGGATTTTAGTGATGGGACGTCTGGATCTGACGTTATCCGAAAAACAAGCTGAGCTAACGTTAGCCTTTAGCTTGTAGCCTTTAGCTTGTAGCTTCTCCTCCCTGTGTCCACCAGAGAAACATACATTTTCTTAGTTAAACTGCTTTTATTCAGTGTTTTTATCCGTTTTAATCCACAGCTCTGTTTGTTTTGGAGAGGAAGAGATCTTTGTGCATAATTCTGCTTTCGGTTAAAACCTCTGAAACGTATTGATCTGACGTTATCAGAGAAACAAGCTAAGCTAGCGTTAGCCTTTAGCTTGTAGCTTCTCCTCCCTGTGTCCAGCAGAGAAACATAGATCTTTATGGTGTCTGTTACGGTACGTCTACACAGCAGCGTTAAAAAAATCTTGAAACGCTTCTGCCCATTCACTTTGAATGGGGTGACGTCACTTTCCCTCACTTTTCGCTGAACTGCATTGTGGGCAGGCGAGCGGAGATTTTCAGGATTTTCAGGATTCAAAGTTGAGCAATGTTCAACTTTTGAAGCTGAGGTGGAAGCGTCAGTCAATCAAATCCCGTGTATGCAAATCTGACAGTTCAAGCGCTAGCCAATCAAACGGCGTGTATGCTGGGAGAGACATACCGCAGGTCATTTCCTCATATTCCAAAAAATGGAGGAGAAATTAGCGGTAGGGAATCACCAGGTGCTTTATGACCAGTCCCTATTTACCTACTGGGATACAAACCGGAGGAGCCAGGCATGGAGGGAGGTGGCAGAGACAGTGTTATGTTTTCGCCTGTTTGGGGAGTTTATATCCAGTTTACTTCAAACTTTTTTGCTTCGTATGTCGGGGGCGGGAGATTCATGTGATTGGTTGTTGGTGCCTTGCTCGCAAAAAATCCCCAAGCTTCAGATACGCCCACCTCCAAGATTTTTTTAACGCTGCTGTGTGGACGGTCCGTTACTGTTTTAATCCATGGGTTTGTCTGTTTTGGAGATGATTAAACCTCTGAGGATAATTTGACTTCAGGTAAAAAACTCCTGAACATCTGGATCTTACATTATCAGCAGCTGAGCATTTGTTAGCCGTTAGCTTAGAGCTGCTTGTCCCTGTGTCCACTGGAGAAACACAGATTTTTAACATTATTCAGTGCTTTTACCAGTTTTACTCACCAAGTCAGTTTGTTTTTGAGATGATGAGACCTCTGTGGATCATTGGCTATTGTTTAAAATATACTAAACTATGAATAATTCAGTAATCGGGAGACGCTGAGTGTGATTTTTCAGTTGAGAGTAGTAGAAGTGTTGTATTGCACCTTTTTCATCATGTAGCCTCTACTGAATATAAAACATCTCTCTTGAATCGGCTCCTGGTGGAGGTGTGACATCAGATCACTCTCACCCGTCTGGTTTTAAACTTCATTCCTTCATAATGCGGCTATAAATAATGTCCAGGAAGTGATTTCACTTAGTGATGCAGAGAGAAGAATGAGAGCGTTATGTGGTCGACTGTCAGCAGAAACTCCTTCTGCTTCCTGTCAGCTCACTCTTTTACTAAAGAAGAGGTGACTTTTCTACAAAGGGTTTTTTCTCTTAATCACAAACTAATGGAATAAATCGTGCAGATATTAAAGTGATTAAACAGCAAAGCAATTATTAAAAATACATATGAGATCTTATCCGCCCTAGTCTTCTTTTAGTTTTATTTATTTATTGATCCTTATTTGACCACCTAGGCCAGGGGTCTCAAACTCAAGGCCCGGGGGCCAAATCCGGCCCGCGACTTCATTTTCTGTGGCCCCGCAAAAGCTTGCAAAGAATATAATACGTTTATTATACGGTTACATGCCACTTTACAGAAGCAGGTTGCCCATAAACTACATGTCCCACAATGCATCTCGTTTTGTGACATGCGCACTGAAGAGACTTGCAATTATTTGCCCTGGACTTCTGCTTTCAGACGTAGTTAATTACTAACTTATTATCCTATCCGATAATAATCCAAGTCAGAGGCAATAATGTAATATAATACATTATTTTATATATATATTATATTTATATAGTTACAACCGGCCCTTTGAGTGCAACCTTTATGCGAATGTGGCCCGCGATGAAATTGAGTTTGACACCCCTGACCTAGGCTGTTCCTTATTAGTGTATATTTTTACTTATTCTAGTTGAATATACTTCTTTTGACTTTTCCAAAACAATGGATTACGTTCATTAAAATAGGCTCGATGTAACAACTTAGCACTACTGCCTGTGCTGCAGCACCTCTTTTCACCCTCTGTCTGAAACCAGAGCCCAGTCTGCTCTGATTGGTTAGCTGTAGCTCTGTTGTGATTGGTCAACCTGCTTAGAGATGTCCCGCCCCTTAGCCTATCACGTACAATGTGTTGGCGCGCTAGCCAATAGGAGCGCAAGTGCTCCGTAGTCATGTTTTATAATTGTCTGTGTGATAGAGATGATGCAATGTGTTTCGTGTTTGTTATGTACCGACCGAAGGACTGCAGATTATTATTATTTATTGTTTTATTATTTATTCTACTATTTCAACAATTTAGAAAGTTTATACGTCTAAAAAACAAACTAAATGAGTAGAAGAGGGAGAGCAGAGTTTATCCAGAGGAAGCTCCCGTTAGTCATCCAGATGCAGGATAAAGTCAATAAAAGATAATTCTGTAATTAAATACTCACACAGATAAACTAAATTATATATACATACATACATATGTACACATAAACATACATACACTCATTTTCAGTGAAAATACAAATAAATTCCTACCTAATTCATCTCTTCTCTGAGATGAATGTATTTGTGTGCATGGTCCATGTTGAAATAAATACATGATAATAATAATAATAATAATGTCACTATGTTCTGGAACTTTGGGGATTTTAGCCTCTGCAGACCGTTAACATGCACTAACACCTACAGAACACTACAGGAGAGGGAACACCACAGAAAGCAGAGTAGGGCCTCTTTAGAGCTAACACTGATTACAGAGGATCATTTGAGAAGTCTTTTATGGTCTGTTATCTTTAATATGATAATTAGGGACTCCTCCCTGGCTTCCCCCTCTCTTCGGGGGATTCCCCACGTTGAATCAACTCCTCTGTGGTTTCCAAACGTCCAGTTTAATCTCACCTAGAGAGTGTCTGCTGCAGAGAGACTTTACAGCCGGACCCAGCTGTAGTTCTTCCTACATTAATGTTTATAACTTCACTATGAGGTGTAGATCCTAACGGTCTTTCATTGCATATCACTTCTTTATACAGGTCTTTTCTTGTAGATCTCTAAAGGCAAGGGTGTAACTTTGGTTTGAGAAGTGGGGGGGACACAAAACAGGGGGTCCTCCGCAATGAAACATTTTCTCGATTTAATTCCATTTCCTGCCTTTCTACAAATATATTAGGGACTATGGTGTTAACAAGGCCAAGAAAAATGTGTAGTGTATATAATGAGTGCGCACACTTATCTAGTATCCTATCCATGTGAACCTGTTTTATTTGTGATGACCTCACCTCCTCAAGGGGGGTCCCGGGGCATGCACCCCAGGAAGATTTGTTTCTTTAAATTGAAGTTGAATGCATCAATCTGGTGCACTTTGAGGGCAACATGAAGAGATGTATGGATACAGCTCTCAACACTCATATGAAACAGAACTGTATATATTTCAATACTCCAAACCATTAGAATATGCTCACAACCAATAACACATCATCGATATACTCCTCTCTCCTTTCTTTATCTTACCTAGTCTGCATTCTTTCTTTTTATTTATGCATATTTTACTCGCCTTTCAAACTGTGTTTTTGATTTTTTACTGACATTGGAATGATTTATTAACTTATTTTGAACAACTATATTAAATAGATGGAAATATTTGTTTACATAGATGACCAAACCGTTTGAGAGCCACTGAGATAACTTGGACTAAAGTTTACAATCTAAGCGCTCGTGCCACACACGCACAGACGCTCCTCCGTGACGATGAGCACTTGAGTAAAAAAATAACAACACATTTGAAAAGTGGGGCGGACATGTCCCCAGTGGAAATTACGCTCATGTCTAAAGGTATTGTAGTAACATGTAGGTGAGTGTATAAAAGCCTGAATGCTTCACAAGTCACAATCAAAAAATATTCAGTCTGATTTTACGAGAATAAAGTGGTACATTTTTGGGAAAATAGGGTTTTTTATTCAAAGAAAACAAATCACTTTCTCCCAAATAAACCACTTGAATCCCCTTTGAGCAGCATTAGTTCATTAACTGACTTTTATCCAGTTTCAAATCACATTTTGTGACACACACACACACACACACACACACACACGGCACGTAACAACTAATTATATTTTTAAACTATGATTTATTGTCTGTATCTTATATTATATTATTATAGTGTTTCTAATCTCCCACAATCCTCAGCTGCACATCAGACGACCCCCTGTGGTTTGTAGACCTTATGTTGAGAACACCCCCCCCCCCCCCTCTACAGATATACAGAGTTTATGTTTCATGTTTTGTTTCTGAAGCTCCCACATGTTCTGACTAAAAGCAGACGGGGAAATCCCCAGATTCCTGCCGCAGTCTGCAGACACATATCTGACGTTTCACACGAATCCAGATCGTAGACACGTCCCAACAGATTATCCTTA